GTTTTCAGTGATCTTTACATCTCTTCCCAAGTCTAGTAGAATCTGTCCACTCCCTGAGGGCAGGGCCAGCAGCGTCTGTTTCTGTATCTGTTGCCACCTCCCTCCTAATGGAGAGCTGTAGGTGGAGACTCTGTTCGCATTAGGGGCAGCGCGTTAGCCCCGGACCAGCGAGCCAGCTTGAAATGGCGGAGACCGCACCTCGAGGCTCTGGGTGACAGTGATGTCCTCTCGAGCTGCAAAAGTCTTGGCTGAGAAGGTGTTGCTTTACCTTTGAACCAGCGCCCTCACCCCAGTCTTGCAAACAGAAAAAAATGAGACAACCAGGGAAGACCCAGAGTGACGTGGGGGGCCCAGGGACTTGGCCTGGCAGGAGTCGTCAGCCACACTTTTTAAGACACCCCCTGAGTCCACCGGTAGCGTGAAGGGGGAGAACCCCGCCCCCAAGCAGTTCTGGTCCCGGAGCGGTACCTTCTGTCCACTACGTCTGTTCTCTCCACTTTCGCTGCGCTCCGGGCCTCTTGTCTTATCTGTAAGCTTTTGCTTTTTCTTTCTTTTTTGGGTTGTGCTTGTGCGCACTCACTTTCTCCAACTTTCTCCCGGCTCTCCCAGGCCGTCCGAAAGCCGCGCTCGCGCCGCGCCGGGACTCCCCCGGGTTCCCCGAGGGCCCGCGGCCAGCGCCCCTCCCCGCCCCCCGCGGGCTCGGCGCTAATCTCCAGATTTTGGGGAGAGGGGGCTGGGCGCGCCGCCCCGGGAGGGGCGCTCCCTTCGCCGGCCGGCCGCCGGGGCGGGGCCCTGGGAACGGGCGCGGGCCGGCCTCGCCTCCAGGCCCCTGCGCCCCTCGGACCTGGGAGAGGGGCTGGCCCACCGCCAGCGTCGGAGGCCGGCCCCCTCCCCCGGCCCGCTTGTAGCCAACCAGGCACTCCAGCGGGGCCCACGTGACCTGGAGTTCTAGACAAAGAAAATGTTCCCTCCCTCCCCCCCGCCGCCCCCTCCCCCTCTCTCTGGCCCCCTCCGCCCCCAGCCCCATCGCCCCCTGCCCCTCCCCCCAGACGGGCAGCTACTTACAGAGCTGCAGGGCCGGGGCTCACACCTGAGCCGGACCGCAGAGGGGCTGCACCTGGCCTTATGGGTAGGTTCCTGGACGGAGCCCTGGGGAGACGGGGGGCGGGGAGGCGGCAGGGCCGGTGGGAGGATCCCCGCAGCCCTCTGTGTTTGAAAAGAGTCAAGAGTGTCTCCCTGGCCCGCAGCAGCTGCAGCGGCCCTGGCTCGCCTGAGTTCTGGAGATGTACACTTAAGAGTCGTCCCACCCACTCCTGCTCAGGAGCCGCGAGGCCCCACTCCTCACCGGACTCTAGTGGCACCTGGCACGCTCGCGGAACAGGCGGCCTGGCCCAGGACAACTGGTGACCAGGAATTTGGTTGGGAGAACCTGGGCTGAGCTGCTGGCAGATGAGAACCTGGCAGTTCCTTGTTGACCTGTGTGCCTGCATCGGGGACCACGCTGTCCTGAGGGCCCTGCCAGCTTGGTCTTTCGAGAGGGACACTTTCTCCCCTTGAGTTCCTGGGAGCCACCGGGCAAGCGGCCAGAAAGAAGGGTGGGGAGGGAGCAGTGTCACCCCGACGGGTGGGGGGCGGGGGAGGGAGCCTAACACTCTGTGACACTGGGATAGCCCAAGGCCATGTGAGCTTGGGGGCAGTGGTGTTCAGCCCTCTGACCTTTGAAATGGGCTTCGCAGGGGTGGTGGAAGAATTGCTGCCTGAGGAGATGGAACTGGATGGGGTGGTTGGAGTCAGTGGAGTTGCCATTGGCGCTCCCAGGCTGGAGGAACTCCTGGACAAGTGGCTTCCTTGGGCCAGCGGTAGTGGGGGATGGTGTAGTGTCCCTCGTGGACCTTGCCAAGTCTCATGGCCCCTTTGGGGAGGAAGAGGAGCCGGGAGCCCAAGTGTGAGAGGTCCTCTTAACCCTTCTCTCCTATTGTTTGCCTGGAGAGAAGGGCAGGGGTAGTGAAAGTGGAAAGGAGGATGAATCTCCTGCTGCCCAACCGACTATTCTAATGAGGCCCCTCCCCCATCTGCCCCCGCAGCCCCTTCTTCCCCTTTCCCCCTGCCTCCCGCTGCTAACCCCCTCCTCTGTGCTGGTCCTGAAGGAGGCCCCCTCTCTCCTCTGCCAGCCCCAGCCCTCAGCGCAGCCGCGCGTGTTCTACACTGAGTGGGCTGGGGATGCTGAGCAGCTATCAGCAGCAGCATCTTGACAAGCTGGAGGAAGTTGTGGGGGAAGAAGAATTTTCAGGAACTGCAGTGGAGGGGGTGAGGAGAGAGACAAAGGGGCTGTGGGAGAGTGATGAGGGTGGTGGCAGGCACCTGGGAGCACCTACCCGCTGCTACAGCTTGCTGTAGAACTGGTAGTGGACCCTTCCACTCCTGCCCCTGCCACCTGCCTGCCTGCGGGAGCTGAATGAGGGGCCTGCACACAGCAGGGTCTGCAGCAGCCTTAGCTGGGTCAGTTATCAGTTGGAGAAGGAGGGAGCAATCAGCTGGGCCAGACCTTATCTGTGTATAAACTGGTACAGCTTATGATCCCAGGAGAAGAGGTAGCTCCAGGAAAAGGGAACTCCCCCACCTCCAGGCCAGCCTTGGCCCACCTATTTGGGGGAGGAGGTGATAGCTAATTGAGAAGAGGAGAGCAAAGTCCTGGCCAGGTGAGGTGGGGCCTGGGAGGGTTGAGCAACTGATCTGCATTCTTCCAGTCCCCCTGCCATGTGAGCTCTTTCCCAGCTGTTTGTGGACTAGGGGCAAAAAAATCCCTTATCCCATTTTTAGAATCTGTTGAGTCAAGAGAAAGAAGTAGAGCTAACATCCTCATGTTCTAGGAATCCCCATAAAAGCAGATTTGGTTTATTCCCTTAAAGCAAAGACTTGAAGATTGAATGAAATGACATAAACCTACCAGTCTTAAAAGATGTTCTTAACCTGAGACCCTCAGACCACGGGTCTGATGACAGGAAGGTCTTTGGGAACCTTCATACATATGCACATCAGATTTTTATTTATTTATTTGGTGGTACTGGGGTTTGAACTCAGGGCCTTAATGCTTCCTAGACAGGTGCTCTTAACACTTGAGCCACTCCACTAGTTCTTTTATGTTGCGTATTTTTGAGATAGGGGCTCCTGAACTATTTGCCTGGGGCTGGCTTTGAACCATGATCCTCCTAATCTCCTCCCACTGAGTAGTTAGGATTACAGGTGTTAGCCACCAGCACCTGGCTATATATCGGATTCTTAAACAGGTCAGGAAAGGTGACCAGCAATCTTGCAGTTTGAGTGCCCTTTTAGATGTGAGCAACTCCAAAGAGAAGAGACTTGGGCCAGCTACTAATGAGTTGCCAGGGCAAGACTGGAATATAGATAGATGCTCTGACTTGTGGTTTAGCTTTTCTCACACTTCAAGTTGCTTTGTGTTCACTTTTTAAACCTCGAGAATGGATTTGCCCTCACTGCTCCAGGCTCTTGGGAAAAGCTGTGTGTTGAAAGGCATGCTGAAAATGGCATGGGGTGTTGGCTTGGGGAAGGGGTAGCTCAGTGGTAGAGCTTGTGCTTTACACACACGAGGCCATGGGTTCCATCCCCAGCACCCAAAGAAAAAAATGGGATTTTTCTCTCTAAATCTGGTGTGGTGAAAGTGGGTACAGAACCTTGAATGTGGAGGGCTATGTGTCCAGAGTCAGTAATAGGAAGGGATGCGATTAAGTTGAATGGTCCTAAGAACTTAGTATCAAGGATGTCATTCTCCTTTATAGGGACCCTAGAGCAGGTTTTGAGAAGAAATGAGCATGTGGGTCATGGCCTCGGGCCATGTGATACGGTGGGACAGTAACTGGGGTTGGGATTATTTGTTGGAGGAATGGCAGAGAAAGTGCCTGATCTGTGTGCTCAGCAAATAACTGAGTAAGTAGATGTATTGATAGCTCTAAAAGCTGCATACAGCATTGGCTGTAACCTGTAAGAACTCCAGCGTGGCTTCTGAGCCTGGGATCAGGCAGGCTCCCCACAGCTTTCCATGGTGGAGCAAGAGGAGATCTGCTCTTTAAGTCATCAGGAGATGGCACAGAACTAGAATTGTGGTGTGGGGTCTAGGAAGAGAGTGGTGTGATTGCTGAGGGAAATGGAGAAAAAAAATAAATGAGAGCTCCTCCCACTCCACCCTCCCCCCCTTTTTTTTTTTTTGGTCAGTACTGGTGTTTGAACTCAGTGCCTCAGTGTTTAAGCCACACTCCCAGCCTTTTTGGCTTAAGTTAATTTTCAGGTAAGGTCTGTTTTTGCCCAGGTCAGTCCAAGATCCTCCTATCTACAGCTTACCAAGCAGCTGGGATCACAGACTATCACATCCGAATTGTTCGTTGAGATGAAGTCTCCCTAATTTTTGCCCTGGCTAGCCTCCAACCACAATCCTCTTGATCTCTGCCTCCTGAATAGCTGGGATTATAGGTGTTAATCATTAGTCACTACACTCAGCTAAGAGCACCGCCCCCCCCCCCTTTTTTTTTTATGGTACTGGGGCTTGAACTCAGGACCTCACGTTTGCTAGGCAGGCATTCTACTACTTGAGCCATTCTGCTAGCCCTTTCTTGTATTGGGTATTTTGAGATAAGGTCTCAAAAGTATTTGTCTGAAGAGGCTGGAGACAGTATCTGCCTGAACAATGATGCATGATTTAATACTTGAGTAGAAGTATCCTTTCCTGATTAAGGGATGGGCACCTCATCTTCCGACCCAGGTTGGGGAAGATTAGGACAGGATGAAGATTTCCTATGGGGCAGAATAGGCTGGAATGAAATTTCAGGGCTTTTGTATTCACCTCAACTTCATCTGTTTCCCTTTCCCCTTACCTCCCGTCACTTGTCTCCAGACCACATACAGGTTGAGAAGAGCCCCCTGAGTCTCACATGACCTTGCCAATTCCTAGAGGGGTCAAGGTCATTTCTTGTTGCTTATTTCTCCAGGCTGAGAAGAAAGCCAAGGTAATTGCAGTAATGAATGCTGTGGAAGAAAACCAGGGGTCCGGGGAGTCTCAGAAGGTGGAGGAGGCCAGCCCTCCTGCCGTGCAGCAGCCCACTGACCCTGCATCCCCCACCGTGGCCACCACACCTGAGCCTGTGGGGGCTGATGCTGGGGACAAGAATGCCACAAAAGCAGCTGACGACGAACCTGAGTATGAGGTGAGCAGTTTGCTTCCCCAGCTCTTGCCTGGGGCCTCCACTGCCATCACATTCCATCCTGCTCTCCATTCCCCTGTCTCTCCACCTGACTCCAGTCTTTTTCATTTTTGTCATGTCTTTCCTTTCACATGGAGCCCTCTTTTTGGTTGTCCTGCCCCCAGATGCCCAGGGCTTGGGTTGCTATGGGGAGTTCTGGGTAGCAGGGTCTTGTGACCACTGTGTAATGATTTGTGCTCCTTGGGGCTCCAGGACGGCCGGGGCTTTGGCATTGGGGAGCTGGTCTGGGGGAAACTACGGGGCTTCTCCTGGTGGCCAGGCCGCATTGTGTCTTGGTGGATGACTGGCCGGAGCCGAGCAGCTGAAGGCACTCGCTGGGTCATGTGGTTCGGAGATGGCAAGTTCTCTGTGGTGAGTTGGGGTTGCCTGGGTGTGTGCGGGTGTCCCAGGGCCTGTAGTTTCAGCTGGGGGTAGTGTGGAGTTGGGGAGGCGGAGATGTGCCGTGCTCACATTCCCGCATGTGGGGAGTGGAAGAAGTGTTAGTGACAATTAGGTTGGACCCCTGGTTCAGAATGTGAAGCCTGCCAGCCTGTTAGCTTCAAGGACTGGAGTTCACTAGAATTCCTCCTCCTCTTCTCTTGGTCTGGGCCCCTCCTTTGGCTTGGATCATTAGTTGTCAATGCCTGTGGTCCTCTAAGAGCCCAGAACTGACTCTGAGCACTTCTGATTCTGAACAATTGTGAGGCACGGAGTGAGGACTTGGGAGTGGAAGGAGCAAACCAGGGTCACCTGTCCCCCAGGTGTGTGTCGAGAAGCTGATGCCGCTGAGCTCCTTCTGCAGTGCGTTCCACCAGGCTACCTACAATAAACAGCCCATGTACCGCAAAGCCATCTATGAAGTCCTGCAGGTGAGCATGTCCCCAGGAGCTCCGAGGAGAAGGCCTGCAAGTTGAAGCATGGTTAGCCTGGCTCGAGGCCCTATGGCAGTGACTCTCTCCCTGACTCAGTCTTTCTACACTCTCCCTCTTCAGTCTTCTCCCATCCCTGCCCCTGCAAACTTGTGCTGCTCTCAGAGTTGGGCCTCACTTGTCATCTAGCCTGTTCTGACTCACACATGTTGCCCCCCAGGTGGCCAGCAGCCGTGCAGGGAAGCTGTTCCCAGCCTGCCATGACAGTGATGAGAGTGACACTGCTAAGGCTGTGGAAGTGCAGAACAAGCAGATGATTGAATGGGCCCTCGGGGGATTCCAGCCCTCTGGTCCCAAGGGCCTGGAGCCACCAGAAGGTACGTAGAGATGTCTAGCTCAGCGTTCTGGGAAAGCGTGTTGGGGGAGAGCCACAGATAGCCCACAGAAAGAGGGGGAGTGTGGCTTCTGTTGGCCTGGGGTCAAGATGTGCTAGGGGAACTAGTGGTCTCTGTTGGCCTGTAAACTGGCCTGGTCACCTGCCTTCCTGCTACAGAGGAGAAGAATCCCTACAAAGAAGTTTACACGGACATGTGGGTTGAGCCTGAGGCAGCTGCCTACGCACCACCCCCACCAGCCAAAAAACCCCGAAAGAGCACAACAGAGAAACCCAAGGTCAAGGAGATCATTGACGAGCGCACAAGAGGTAAGTGGCCTGCCTCTGGAGTTACTTGGGAGCCCACCAAAGGGTGAGGGGTTGGCCCAGTCCAGCGGTAACCTCTGACTCAGGCTTTCCTCCTGCAGAGCGGCTGGTGTACGAGGTGCGACAGAAGTGCCGGAACATTGAAGGTGAGTGTCTTCCAAGAGTTGAATGCTCCTAGCACAAGCAGGATAACCTGGCTGCTAGTGTGGCACGGGCATGGAGTGCCATTGGCATAGGTTCTTAGGAAGGTTGGGGTACCATGGGTGAGCCAGGAGCCCTGTGACTCCAGTATTCAGCGTCAGGAGCTGTTTGCATGCCCTGCCACTTCCAACCTGCTTCACACGCCATCTGTTTTCCTGTTGCCACGATTTTTGATAACTGGTATACTCAATGGGGATACCCTAGTGGGTAAGAAAATGATGGTCCCCATGGATTGGATTGAATTTGCCTGAAGATGACCTTGGCCTTTTATCCTTCCTCACTTTCATCTCATGTCTGTCTCCCTTGGTTGAGTGGTCTGGCTTGCTGCTTGGGGCCCTTGGGTCTGAAGGACTCAGGGACTGCCTCAGGAACCCCTCCAGAGCAACCCAGGCGAGAGGGCTCTGCGCTCACAATTGGGTTTGATGGCAGCACTGCTGCTGGAAGAAACCAATGAGTTTCTGAGACTGGGGGCTGTGGGTACTCCCCAGGCTCTTTTCTACCTGTAGTTTTGGCTGCTGTGCTAGCACCCTCTTTTATGGAGCTTCTCTGGGGCTGGGCTGTTTTGGCCCAGGTGGGGCTCTCCATTAACTCTTGCAGCGTTCTTGCTGTTTTGCAGACATTTGCATCTCATGTGGGAGCCTTAATGTCACTCTGGAGCACCCTCTCTTCATTGGTGGAATGTGCCAGAACTGCAAGGTAGGGGTGTCCACATGCAGAGTGACCCCTTCCCCATCTCTTGGGCCTAAAGGGGCTGGTAACGTGGTATGTGTGTAATGTAGATCTCCAATGTACTTGAAGACTTACAGAATCCTGAGAAAGTGAGCCCCTCAGTGCCACTCCTTTTGCTTATTATTGTTTATGTTCTAAAAGATCCTCTCAAGCTGCATTCTAGGCCCCAAATGTGGGCAGGGACAGACTCACAACTGCAATCACTGGTGTGAAGGGGTGGGTAGTAGAGAAGTAGGTCAGAGCAGGCTGATGGATAGGTGGGTCCTTCAGGAGACCAGGAGAAAAGCTACAGGTAGAATCGAGGTGGAGGGGAAGCCTTGCTCATGGCGCCCTTCGTTGGTCCATCTACTAGTATGTGGGGAGACAAGGCCTCCCCTTCCAGGTCAGGGTTCTGGTCTGACCCTGAGTGATAAGGTCCATCTCCAAGCTGAGTCAAGGCTTCAAAAAGCCAGGTCCAGAGCCTGCCTTGACCTGGCTGTGCTGGGTTCTGCCCTGGTGGCTCTGACTCTCCTCACTCTCCATAGAACTGCTTCCTGGAGTGTGCGTACCAGTACGATGATGATGGCTATCAGTCTTACTGCACCATCTGCTGTGGGGGGCGCGAGGTGCTCATGTGTGGGAACAACAACTGCTGCCGGTGAGCCTCTGCACCCCAGACTGCACTGGGCTCTCCCTCCTCACCCCCAGCCTGGTCTCTTCTGCCCACCCTGCCCCTCCTGCTGTGCTCTGTCTGGACCAAGCACTTCCATTCCAGTCAGCTCCCTTGGCCTCTGTGGACTGGGGCTGGGAGGTCCTGCTTACTGGGCTTCCTTCCAGGTGCTTTTGTGTGGAGTGCGTGGATCTCTTGGTGGGGCCAGGGGCTGCCCAAGCAGCCATAAAGGAAGACCCCTGGAACTGCTACATGTGCGGACACAAGGGCACCTATGGTCTACTGCGGCGACGGGATGACTGGCCCTCTCGCCTCCAGATGTTCTTCGCCAATAACCATGACCAGGAATTTGTGAGTGCTGGGCCAAGGGTGCAGTCTCAGGGGAGCTTTGCTTTTGTGGGTGGGGCCTGGGCATTGATCAGAAGTGGCTGAGCCATGGTTGGGGAATGTAAAATCTAGGTCTAAAGCCCTTATCAGCTGGGAGGGCTGGCCTGGCAAGATGGGGCTCTGTGCCACTCCTGAGCAGTTACCTGACTGGTTGTACTCGCTACTTAGGACCCTCCAAAGGTTTACCCTCCTGTCCCAGCTGAGAAGAGGAAGCCCATTCGGGTGCTGTCTCTCTTTGATGGAATTGCTACAGGTGAGTGGCACAAGTTCAGAAAGGTGCTGGACTCCTTGTCCTTGGATGGGATGTGTATGTGTGTATGTAACTGTGGTGAAACAGAATGATTCTTGGCCATCTCAACTGCTAAAGTATTAATCTAAAGAGGAAACTTCATATTAAACGAAAAAGTATGCAGTCTACAGACATGCGCTTTGGCCAGAATTAAAACAAAATGAGTGGTAACCCAACCTTATGGAAGGAGACTGCAGCAGGAGAGGGCAGAGCCGTCATTGCAGGCAAACAGATTTTCATAGCCTCCGAAGGACAGACCCAGTGACCAAACACACAGTTCTGATGTGTTTTGATTAAGAACAGGATAGTCTAAAGACTATTTAAGTTGCCCATGATCCTATAATTAACATTTTAAAGTACATTCTTTTAAATTATCTTCTGTGCCATGCGTATTTATATAATCACATCTACAAATAATTAAGCAAGAAGGTAGTTAAATGCATACTATTTTGTAACTTGTCGCTTATGACTTTTTCAATGCAGAACTATATTCATTTGAGAGTATCATGATTTATTTAACCCCAAGTAGGTTATTTCCTGTTTGTTTTTTTTTTTCATTATTGTAAGCAATGCTGTGACAAGCATCCTTATAAGTACATCTTTACATGTGTAAGCCATTATCTCCTTAGAAAAAACTCTTAGGAAATGCTGTGTCACTGTGCAGGCACTTTTTTTTTTCCACATAGCTGTTTAACTTTGATGTGTATATGTAGCCATCTCTCTACCCGTTCTCTGAGCTGACAGACTTGGTTCTTAAGAATGGAATTGGAGCTGGGCACCAGTGGCTCATGCCTGTAATCCTAGCTACTTGGGGGTAGAGATCAGGAGGATCGCAGTTCGAAGCCAGCCTGGGCAAATAGTTCACGGGACCCTATCTTGAAAAAATTCATCACAAAGAAAGGGCTGGTGGAGTAGCTTAAGGTGTAGGCCCTGAGTTCAAGCCCCAGTACCACAGGGGGAAAAAAAAAAAAGTGGAATTGTTTTCCTTAGGACAACCAGCGGGAGATACAGTCAGTCTGAACCTAGGGACTTGGCCACAGAGCACCATGTTTGCCTTCTGGTCTTAGCTCTCTGCCCATGCCCTGTAAATCTAGAGGCGTTCATGTGCAACCTTGGTTTACCAGACTTGACCCTCAGGGCCTTCCGAAATCATGTCATACCTGAGAGGCTATACAAGCCTTTTGGTGGGGTGACTTACCCAGTGCAGTTCAACTGGTGCCACTGTGCCCCCATTCTTTCCGAAGACCTTCGGTCTGTTGTCATTGTTTCTTTGCAGCATTGGTGGAGGGATCTAGCAGTGAGGTCAAAGTGGTTACCTCAGCAAGAATACAGTGAATGAGGCCTTGTCTTGTCTTTAAGACATTTGCAATCCAAGAGAGGCTGAATTAGGAAAACAGTCCCTGTAATGAGGTTGAGAGGGAGGTCTAGTGTTAGGCCCCAGCAGAGGGAGGTGATTCCAGGGAGCTGCTGTGTGGGCTGGTCATTGATGAACCCTTTTTAGAACAGGTGGCATTCAGTTTGAGTCTTGCAGAGTGGGGTAGAATTTTAGCAGGAGATGATGAGCATAAGGAAAGGACCAAGATATAGATACAGAAACGGTAAGAAACAGCCACCAAAGAAGCCAGTGGCTATCCTCCATGGATCTTGAAATCATCCGCTGTCTGGTCAGTCTTCCCTGGCTTTGACCTCCTTCTAGGTAGGCCAAAAGTAGGTATGAAACAGAGTCATAGTGCCCTGGTCTTTGATGTTCCAGTTTTGTCAAGGATTTCAGGCAACTTCCCAGACAGGGTAGGACTTGGGTCTGTAGCTGACCCCTTGGCATATGGTGGCAGAGGGTGTGCCTACTTAAGACCAGGTGCCAGGATGACAACCCGGAGTGACCACACTCTCTGCTGGCTGGCACAGGGCTTCTGGTGCTGAAGGACTTGGGCATTCAGGTGGACCGCTACATTGCCTCGGAGGTGTGTGAGGACTCCATCACGGTGGGCATGGTGCGGCACCAGGGGAAGATCATGTACGTCGGGGACGTCCGCAGCGTCACACAGAAGCATGTATGTCAGGGCTGTGGGACACGCCTTGCCTTTGCCTTGGACACTGAGCTCCTGGAGGCATCCCCTCCCCTTTATTCTGTTGTCTGTTTGCCTTTGTGCCCTTTCCCCCCAGCCTTCCTCCTTTTTTAGCCTCCATTCTCTTTTTTTTTTTTAATTTACTAAGGCAGTGAGCAGAATTTGGGAGCATATAGGTTATAGTGATAATGCTCTTACCTAGCATGCATGAGGCCCTGGGCTTGCCCCCCGCCCCCAATACTGCAAAAATGGGGTAAGGGAAGAATTTGAGAGCCTGCCGTTTTGGGCTCCACCTGGTGTCAGGGCCTTTGATGATAGCACTTTGGAGTGGAGAGAGAGGGTCCTGCCCTGATGCTTTTTGGCAAGTAGTTTTACCAGCCTCCACTTTGGGGAGGAGGGCCTCTGGCAAGGTCGGGCCTAAGATCCTCTGCCTTTCCAGCGTCTTGGTCTACCTCTGAAATCCTAGAAAGCCTTCACAGGGCCCAGATACCCACCTAAAGTGCTCAGAACACTGTCCCACCTCCGCCACAAGGCCCCTTTTCTTGCTTGGCACACCCTGGGTTCCCTGCTGGCCTCAGGGATGGATGATCTTCTTTGGTCTGTTTGCTCAGTGTTTAATGCTGAGCCCGGACAGCTTCTATGACCATCAGATTCTTAGATCATTTTTCTTCCTCTCTGCCTCTGTCCCTGGACAGCAGGCCTATCACGTTGCCTTTATCCTCCCAGATCCAGGAGTGGGGCCCATTCGATCTGGTGATTGGGGGCAGTCCCTGCAATGATCTCTCCATTGTCAACCCTGCCCGCAAGGGACTCTACGGTAGGTGCCGTCCTCACCCTCACCTTTTGAGCTGGTGCTTCCGCACTTAGGCTTCCTCCTTGGATATTTCTGCCCTGGGATAGCTCTTCCCAATGACCCTGTCTTCCCTTGCCCTCCTCATGCCCAAGCCACACCACTGTGATGCAGGCAGCCCCAGCTGATGGCTTTCTCTTCCAACCTCTCAGAGGGCACTGGCCGGCTCTTCTTTGAGTTCTACCGCCTCCTGCATGATGCGCGGCCCAAGGAGGGAGATGATCGCCCCTTCTTCTGGCTCTTTGAGAATGTGGTGGCCATGGGCGTTAGTGACAAGAGGGACATCTCGCGATTTCTCGAGGTATAGCCAGCAACCTTGGTTTGGCCAGCTCACTAATGGCTTCTACCCTGGACTGCTGCTTCATCCCTGTCTCATCCGCATTGTGGAGCTGGGAACTGGTGACTTCTGCTTTGCAAGGGCTCTGTTTAGGAAGCTCTTGACTTCCCAAGGAGAAAGGGAGGAAGGTAGAGTTAGAGGCCCACCCAGAAAGAACGAGTGCTCATTCACTCACGGGTTACTGGATTCAAGGACCTAACTGTCTCTGAACAGGGTGAGGAGTGGCAGACTGCTAGAACTGGGGATTCTGGCTGATGTCACACTAGGGGCAATTTTGAGATAACCAGATTTGGTTTTCTCTGACCAGAACGGCCTGTCCTTACTCCCTGGCACCATGATGAATGCTTTATAACACCTGAGTAGGAAACATGGCTCATCTTAGGCTTCATTTCTTATGATGGAAATCCCAGTTCAGCTCTGAGCCAAGTGTGAGCCGTGCACAGAGGATTTCTGCTGCCAGAGGCATTCTTGGGGTGGCCATCGGGAAGCTTGAGCCCATGCTTTCCAAGTCTTGGGATCAGTAACTCCTCAGGTTGTCATTTTGACTTTAAATGGAAGAGGGCATCAAGGCAGCTCCTAATCTCTGTGTGCAGTGGACACACCCAGGCTCAGTGGCGCTTGCTTTTTAAGCCTCTGGGTAGTCTGTCTAGAGCTGCCTTGCCCAAAATAGTAGCCATTGGCCTTGTGCAGCCATTTACATAGGAAAAATCGCTGTCCTTTGTCACACTGGCCTGCTTTCAAATGTAAGGTAACTATCTGTAGTTAGCAGACTAGCAGTCTAGGAGCTACTGCAGTGAACAGTGCAGATACAGAATAATCTCCATCACCACAGAAAGTTCAGTTGCACTACACTGGTCTAGAATGTTACAGCCAGACCATGTGGAATGTGGCCAGGTTTAATTCCAGCTTTTCCTAGGGTCTTCATGCTATCCCAGTGTGTGGCATCCAGAGAAAGAACAGCCTTTGATGCCTTAAGGCTCTCAACCAGTACTATTTAAAATTCCTCCTTTGTTCATCTGTTCAACTATCTCCTGTTTTACAGTCCAACCCTGTGATGATTGATGCCAAAGAAGTGTCAGCTGCACACAGGGCCCGCTACTTCTGGGGTAACCTTCCCGGTATGAACAGGTTGGTGAGAGCTCCCAGGCCTGGGGAACTGTGGGTAGGTGTCTGCAGGCAGGACAGCCAAGGAGGGAGATGCTTAAGGGCCTTCTAGGGCCAGCTTCCTCTGCTGATTGCCTGCTGTTCCACCATGTTCTTTATTTTTGGAGAGGAAAGGGGACTCAGGGCATAGAAAATACTTGACTGAAGAAACCAACAATTGGTGATCTCAACAGGACCTTGAGAATTGCATTCTTTATACAAAAGAGTCCTGTGCTGTGCAGTTGTTTATAGTTGGCTCTGCTGCTACATTGATATATCCAGAGCCAACTGGCCCTTAGGCTCTCCTGAGGAAAAGCTGTGGAGGACGGGGGCATAGAAGGGAGCTATGCCCACAGCTGGCCACATCTGGCCCCAGAGGAGGGAATCTGAAGCAGCTATCCAAGTGTGAGATTCTGCTTGTTTCTTACCTACACTGTTGGTTTCAGGTCCTTTGTTGAAAAAATTTTCTTCATTTAGAGCACACAAAGATTTTACTATCCAGGAATGAAGAAAACATCATTCAGGTGCACCAATCACATTATAGAGGAAGGCCTTTGAGGAAGGTCCCAGAGGCCAGCAAGAAGCACCTGACCTCACGATTCATGATAGAGGGCTTATGGAGTGGTTCAAATGGTAGAATGCTTGCCTACCAAAAGTGAAGCCCTGAGTTCAAACCCCAGTGCCACCAAAAAAAAGTCCATGTTAGAGGAGTGTATTTTCCAGGATGTTTTGAGTCATAGATTTTAAATCCCCTGGTATTCCTATAAATAGAAAGCATCACTTAGCTTGGCTTCAGCCACCTAATCTCCTTCTTGGCCATTCATGTGCTGCTGTCTTTTGCAAGGCTTGTTAGTGGGAAGATCGGTCAGCAGCTGACATGAAACTGTCCCCAGCAAAGGCCCCAAGGTTCATGTGCGTAATGGCAGTGTGGACAGGCTTCCATGATCCGGTGTTGTGTTGTGTTGTTTTGTTTGGTGGTGCTGGGAATCAAACCCAGAGCCCTGCACATGCTAGGCAGTGCTCCACCACTGAGCTACAGTCCTGGCTCTTGGTGTTTTGAGATAGACTCTCACTGCGTCTATGTGTCTCACATGTGTCTGGCCATGAACTCAATCCTTCTGCCTCTGCTCCCAACTGCTATTATGGGCCTGTGCCACGACACCCAGCTAAATACTTTAAAAGGTGGTCTTTATTTATTCAGACTGCCCTCTGAGAAGTGAGACATTCAGTGTCACAGAATTTTATAAATCTTTAGGGGTGACAGCACTAAAGTCTTTAACCTGTACATTTAAGGGGTGTAGTCCAATAAATTCATCCAGTATACACGTCCATAATCATCACCACAAGTCAAGATATAGAACACTGTCACCCCCAACACTTGCTTTGTGGTGGAACAGTTGAAACTCAGCATATTTAAAAATAACTGAGAGAAAACTATTTGTGAGCTAGCAGAGTGGCTGAAGTGGTAGAGCACCTGCCTAGCAAGCTTGAGGCCCTGAGTTCAAACCCCAGTGCCACGAAAAAAAAAAAAGGAAAAGTATTTGTATTTTCCCCCTTCTGGGTAGATGTTACCTGCCTGTTGGTACTTTGAGATTACTTGTGAATTTGCCTGTAAGGATGTGGATGGCCACAGTGCACAGGTGTATTTCACTGGAATTTGAAGAGGGTTACAATGTGTGTGTGATTGGGGTGGGGACCTTTTGCTTTACCCTCGATAGTCAGGTGGCTGTTGGGGTCTAGCACCCTTGCTGGGGAATTGCAGCTGTTTTCCAGGTCTCTGCTGGACTGTTTTCCATTCTCTCTTCTGCCTCCTAGGCCGTTGGCATCCACTGTGAATGATAAGCTGGAGCTGCAGGAGTGTCTGGAACATGGCAGAATAGCCAAGGTCAGCTCTGGTACCTAAGACCTCTGTGGGGGCAGGAAGAGGGGAAGAGGGCAGGATGAAGTGGAGCAGGAGATAGCAGGCAGGGCTGTGTCCTGCCATCTGTCCCCCCACCTCTCCCAGATGATGTAGGGTCATGTAGCCAGTCAGCCAGGGGATGGCCTTTCTTTCCTGGTGAGCAGTACTCACCTTCAATAAGGAGTCTTCCAGCTATGGCCTTTTAAAAAAACTTTTTGGCTGAGACCTGTCTTAAGGATCTTCAGATCAAAGAGCAGCCTCCTGTAAAGTGGATTCTGTCATAGTAAGTGCATGAGGCTCCATGCCAGTGTGTTCCAGCATTCAGGACAGCTGACACTGGAAATGTGTCTTTGAGCCTTTGAGCCTCTGAGTCATTGGCCACCCTTTGGTCTGCAAGTTACCACACCTCCAAGAGAACTTGGTTTTTGGGAGACTTAAAAAAGTAATGACCAAAGCTGCTTGCTGTAGTGTGACTACCTAGGTTGGACCAAGAATGTCCAGGTGACCTCAAGGTGGGAAGAGAAGCAGGACTGTGGGGACAGGGAGGCTTTGCCCATGGTGAGCCTTGAAGAACCAAGCCAGCCTGGGTTGAGCAAGTGGACACTTACTCATTGCTCTTTTTTCCTCTTCACCTTCTAGTTCAGCAAAGTGAGGACCATTACTACTAGGTCAAACTCCATAAAGCAGGGCAAAGACCAGCATTTCCCCGTCTTCATGAATGAGAAAGAGGACATCCTTTGGTGCACTGAAATGGAAAGGTACCTGTGTTTGTGTGCTGGCATTCCCAGTGCTTGTGTTCTGATTCCTGTCTTGCTGGCCCACCATGTGGCCATTCAGGCTCTTGTGCGTTTTATGGCTGGTCCCAAATCAAGAGGAATCTAGGGATCACTAAAGTCTGGGCTCCCACAAAGCCTACTGGACCCCTGGGAAGGTTGCAGCTCCAGGGGCTTCCTTAACTCATGCCATAGGTGTTGTATAAAGCAGTGTAGGGCTGGGCAGACCACACAGCCTTCGTTCCCTGATTGGGTGTACATTGCACTCCCAGGACTGGATCTGCTCCTTCTCTGGGTATAACTAGGATTTACTAAAGAGGCCTTTTACAGAAAGACCAGAGCAGACCAGAGTGAAGTCAGGCAAGAGCTGCACTCCTTTTGGAGCCCTTCTCTCCAAGGGGAAGTTCAAGGGATATGCACAAGTTGCATTCAGACTCAAGCTGTCCATGGTGGATCTAGATCTCACGTGGTGTTCCACAGCAGATCAGGGGGTGTTTTTCAGGTGTTTCATGAAGCACTATCTTTGTTTCTGCTGAGTGGGGATTTGAAGGCAGGGATTGCAGTACCTACCGTTAAATCCAGAGACCAGCACAGTGTCTGGCACGTTTTTCGTGATACATCTAAGGTTGAATTGGTTATAAAGGATAGGGGACTAACCACACTCAGAACAGGCGTGTATCCAGAGTGTGAGGGAGAGAATGTGGTGCACGTGGCCCTTCCCAGGTGTTTCTTGGACAGCTGCTGCTGTCTGCACTCGTGGGTGGCCAGATGGCTTCCGGGCAGCCTGGTCTCAGCCCAGCCCACGCTCACCCTGCCCTTTTTGCCTTTCCCCTCCCCCTCAGGGTTTTTGGCTTCCCTGTCCACTATACAGACGTCTCCAACATGAGCCGCTTGGCGAGGCAGAGACTGCTGGGCCGGTCGTGGAGCGTGCCAGTCATCCGCCACCTCTTCGCTCCACTGAAGGAATATTTTGCTTGTGTGTAAGGGACATGGGGGCAAACTGAGGTAGTGACACAAAGTTAAACAAACAAACAGAAAAAACTACAAAACACCAAGAACGTGAGGACGGAGAGAAGTATCAGCACCCAGAAGAGAAAAAGGAATTTAAAACAAAAACCACAGGTGGAAATACCGGAGGGCTTTGCCTTGCGAAAAGGGTTGGACATCATCTCCAGATTTTTTCAATGTTAACCTTCAGTCCTATTTAAAAAGCAACACCAAGCCCCCCTCCCCTTCCTCCCTATCCCCTCTTTTTGGGTCAAACCTTTTGTTTTCTACTCTTTTCAGAGGGGCTTTCTGTTTGTTTGGGTTTTTGTTTCTTGCTGTGACTGAAACGAGGGTTTATTGCAGCAGAAATCAGTTAACAACAACAAAAAAAAAAACCAGTAAATATCTTGCAGAAGAAAGGCAGGAGAGAGGGAAAAAATTCTATAGAAATCTATATTGTTTTTTGTTTTGTTTTTTTTTTTTTAAACTATATATCTTTCTTTTGTTGTCTCTAGCCTGATCAGATAGGAGCACAAGTGGGGACAGAAAATAGAGACCCTCGGGTGGGTGGCAGAATTCCCTCCCCGCCGGGGCAGTCTCACCAGCACCATTCCTGGTCATGCAAAACAGAACCCAACTAGCATCAGGGAGATGAGAACACCACACAGACACTTTTCTACAGTATTTCAGGTGCCTACCACACAGGAAACCTTGAAGAAAAGCAGTTTCTAGAAGCTGCTGTTACCTCTTGTTTACAGTTTATATATATATGATAGATATGAGATATATATATAAAAGGTACTGTTAACTACTGTACAACCCGACTTCATAATGGTGCTTTCAACAGCGAGATGAGCAAAAACATCAGCTTCCATCTGGCCTTATGTGCAAAGGGTTTTAATCAAGGATGGGGAAAGGGATTCGGCGTGGAGCAGGCTTCTTGTCTGGTGGGGTTTCTTTACCCCTTGGTGTTTAACCAACTGAAGGAGGAGAATTGAGGAGTGGAGTTCTCCTGCTTCCCCTGCCAAAAAAAGGGGGGATCAGCCGAGGTGGTTAGGACTTGGGGAAGCTGAGCGTGGAGTTCATCCAGACTCATGCAATAACCATTGAATTTTTTTTCTTAAAAAAAAAAAAAAAAGACTCCCTTGGCAAGATGGCAGAGCGAGGAGTCTTCACCCCTGATTTCTCAGATTAGCCAAGTCAAGGGCTCCTTGTGGTGGGATCAGAAATAATCCAGAGTGTGGGAAAGTGATAGTTTAAAAAAAAAAAAAAAAACCCACCTGGAGCAAATAAAAAAACATACAAAACGTACTGGTGCTTTCCTGTCTAAGTCGCCTTTTGTGTGTTCTTTTATGAGGCCTCCACCATCCTCCCCTCTGCGCACAAGGCGGCTTGGCCCTCGGAATGTGATGTTTTTGATCATCTCCAAAGGCTGCAGTTTTATACTGGGAGGCTGATGACACCTTTTATTATGATTATTCTTATGGTTCTGGTTATAATTATGTTTGTTTTAAGATTTTCTTTAAGAAAACAAAAACCCAACACCCTTCCCTTTAGGTTACAAACCAAGGTGCGGGGAGCCAGGTGCTTCTCAATAGTGGTGGCTCTGGTGCCCTGGCTCCCACCCCTCGGGCCAGGTGGGCCACTGAGCAGCACGGCGACAAGCTGGGCGGCCAGGGAGTCCCTGAGGCCTGCTCTCCGGGCTGGTCACTATTCTCTTCTACTTCCCCTCCTCGTGAGTCTGGTGTGTCAGGGCGGAGGGAGGCCCGGGCAGCCTCTCTCCTTGTGTGTGTGGTTGGAGTGGTGTGTGTTTCTTTTCTAGTGTTTGGTCTGATAGCTGTGCTCTTACCTCTGAGTCAGCAGCACCTGGAGCCCACATGCTCGCACTTTGTTTGCTTCCTACCGGGGCAGGCGTTGGCAGTGGGAAGGGACGGCGTTGTTGGCTCCAGGGCGAGGGCCCAATGGGCAGAGCTTGCCTGGATGGATGGGGTGTAGATATGTGGCATATAGAGATATATATTTTATAAGGGGAGGGGGGGCGGCACCTCCTGGGACCGGCAGAGCTCGGAGGTGTGCCGTCAAGCACACGGTCCGGAGATCGCATCCCTAGAAAGATGGAGCCTATGGTGATAGGCGCTATATAAATACATAGATAGGGTCATGTATTAGAAATATTACGTCGTGGGGTGTGGGAGGAGCAGGCTCAGTGTGCTGAGCCTGGGGCCTTGCCGCAGACAGTCCCACACCAGCCAGTCAGTCTCACATGCACAGGAACCTATTTCTATTCAGACGCATGCCGAGCGCACACACCAGGGAGCTCCCAGCGCTCTGCTCCCAGGATCAGGACTTCATGGAGTCAGCCCGGGCAGCTCTTTACCTCTGTTGCCCTGATAGCAGGCAGACCCGGTCCTAGAAGTTGCTAGGTGCTGAAGGCAGGAAGAGGAGGTTTGATCCAAGCAGGTGCTTCCTCTAGCAGGTCATATTCTGTCCCTTTTGCCCCTGGTGATGTCAAAGATTCTTCTGTTAGCAACCTGTGATACTGACCTGCAACTCCAGGCACCGGTAAAGTCAGCCCTCACTCCCCCTACCTATTCTCCCCAACCAAAATCAAATTGCTGTCCCTGACTGTCTTGGCCACAGGGCTTCCATTAGGGAAAAAAAAAAAAGGGACAGTGAACCTCAACTTTTGGCTGAAGCAAATTAGTAATTAGTGACAAAATGAAACCAAGGCTTTGAACCCCTTGCTCATGGCTCAGGAGGAAGCTCCCAGCTAGTGAATGTGGGGTGTGTTGTCCAGGCTCTGTCATTCATTTCCTCTAGAGATCATACCCGGTTGCTCCCTGCCACTTCCTTGATAAGGCAGGTGGTGCTGTGTGCGGTTGGAGCAGCTAGAAGAGGGGGACACTTGCCCCCCTTCATTGGAGTCCCTGTGCTAAATGTGCTTGCCTGTTCCCTCCTCGCTCCAGCAGGGCTCCATTCTGGCCTGGAGTCCACCAGCACCATTCAGGAGGGCTGAGGGGAGGAGGGCTGCCTCAGGCAGTCCAAGGTGCTCCCTCCCCCACTGGCCAGAGCCAAGGTCTTCCCGGCTCCCAGAGTCAGAAGACAGTCTTCGCCGGTCATTTTCCAGCACTGCTGGCCAGGAGGGCTCCCGGCCTCTGTTCACTGCTGATGTGAAGGTTTAGCCTTTCCCCATGGCCCCGCTATACCCTAGCTGGGCCTGGTGCTCCCCTTGGTGGGGGGGAGGGGTTTGGTGTGGGAACTCAGGAAGAGCCTCGAGTGGCCAAGGGTGTGGCAAGCCCAAGGGACCAGCATAAGCTGGCCAGCTTGGAGACCTGGTACCAGGCACAAAGGCCCCCTTGTGGCTACCTAAGGACCTGACCAGAATGGACCAGAAGTGCTATGGACCATGGGGCCCCACCCAGGAGTTAGTTACTCACCAGCTTTTCTGCTAGCCCTGTCCCTAGGCTTGGTCAGAGTAGAACTTTGGAAATGTGCCAAGCTGGGATGCTCTTCATCCTCCTCCACCTCCATGTGGGGGACTCCTGGGGACAGGTGTTAGACATCCTCCAAAAGGGAGCTGTGTTTCAGTGGCTGAGGTGGTGGCTTGGGCGAATCGGGCAAGGGTCTGTGAGCTTGCTGTGGAAGAAGCTGAGGGCAGAGATGGGGCAGTGGATGCCCCCAAGGAGGCTGGGAGGGGGAGTGTGCTTCCCAAAGAGTAGGCTCTTTTCCCCGAGAAAGCAGGGTGCTGGAGACCGAGGGTGACAGCCTCCTTCCTGTGGGGGCGGGGCGGTGCCACACAGAGCATGGTGCCAAAGAGATCTGTGGCCCTTACCTGGGGAGGCAGCCGGGTGCTAGTGCCAGGGTCAAGGAGCCTTGGCGTCCTGCCTGAGGTTCCCCACAGGGCCTCAAGCTGGCTGGTGCTAACTCCCTTCCCATAGGACCGACTAGCTGGCAGGAGCCTGGGGAGCCAGCAGGAAAGGTTAGAGGGGGGTTTTGTTTTCCTCTTTGGCCTTTATAGCCTCCTTGCTATTGGACATCATCTTAGAAAGCAAACTTCCCCAAGGGGCATCCAGAATCTCTGCTTTTGAGATAGGTCTGGGCCTGTCTGGCAGGGGTGTAAACAAGATATGGAAAGGGTCTAACTGCGGTGCCCCTCCCCTCCCATTCAGCTGACCCCCAGGCTGCAGCCTCTCTGGGGAACCCCCCACCATCTCCAGCACAGGGAATCTGGAACAGGAGCGAAGGAAGGAATAGTTCAGTGGAGAGCCATCCATAAGACGGTCTTACAGGACAACTGCCATCATTAGTTTTCAGACTTGGTCACATAAGTACATAGGGAGCAGATGTTGAAATCCTGTAACTGTGGCTTGGTGAACAGTTTCTGTGGTACTAGTGTCTTTCAGAACTGTCATTTTGTGGGGGCCACACAAGCTGTGGGCTGGGGCTGTAAGGCCTACTGGGCACTGGCCCTGAGGAGGGCAGCTTGCTTGCTTTGGCCTGGGTAGTGTCAGAGCCAAGATTCTAGGGAGGCCCATGTTTTGATCCTGGAGGTGAACAGAACGAGTTTATCATCAGCTTTCTAGAGCCTGCCTGCTCCCAGTACTTGTGACTAGATGGTGACACTATGTTGTCCCACTTGGTAGGGAGTAGCTGGAGCCTCCTCCTCCCCCAGAATGGACAAGGAGTTGGAAGGGATGACTTGGAGTTAGAGCGGCCCCTCTGGCCACCCTCTGCTGGGTCAGGGGTTATGAACAGGTGGCACCGGCCTCCTTGCCAGGCCTTGTCCTGAGCCAGGAGGACCTTCGAGGAAAGTGACAAACTTGTGTCTGGCATAAGCTCTTATATCTTTACGTCTTGGTAAAAGAAGGCTGTGGTTTTTGAGAAATGACCTCATACTTGTGGGTTTCCAAGACCCTGCTAAGGTGGACCTGTGGTCGGGGACCCATCTCTGAACCTAGGCAGTGGAGTTTGGGCAGCAGGAGAGAGATGCAGCTCAACAGGGAGGACAGGTCCCCTTGTTAGTGGGGACCTGCTGATTTCCCCAGAGGTCCCAGGACCCCTGAAACTTCAACAACCAGAAAACTCCAGGGATGTGTTCTGCTTGGGGCACAGAGAGGGCTCCCCCAGTCCCAGTCTAGCAGCCTGGGCTTGAGGACATGAGCAGCAGCCTAAACCATTGCTAAGGTCCCTTTCACTTTCCAGATCGACTGGGTTGCACAGCCCTAGACTCCAACAGACCCCCAAAAAAGCTGAAATTCCTTAGAATACGCAGAGGGAGGAGGTGACTCAACAAGGTGCTAAAACATTTTATTAAAAATATATATTGTTAAATTAAGTCTGCTGTCTGGACAATGTTTGTTTTGTTTTCTTGTAGTGGAGTTTAAAAGAGACTATTATTTTACTCTGATATATTATTATTAAAAAGGCATTTTAACTTTGTACTTGAAAACCAAGTGAGCGATTTCACGTGTTTTAGCTGAGGCATCGAGGTAGCGGGTGCTTACTTATTTGTGGGAAATCATGTATTCATACTGAAGAATAAACTCTGTAGCTGATTTGGTAATAACCTTCACTGTTACAGACGATTTCGCTTTGACCCGGGTGGCAGAGCACTCTTAACTCCACATTCCACGCAGCTAAATGCAGGACTTCCTTCTCCACCCTCTTTCCTTTCTCTTGACTTCCTTTTTTTTTCCTTTTTCTTTCTTTTTTTCCGTTTTTTGTTTGTTTTCCTGGTTGCCGCTCCTTTCACCACTGTATTTTTTTTTTTTTAGGGTTGCTTCTCTATTTATTGACAATAATGATGTACATTTCACAGTCTGGTTCTGGGACAGCCAGGAGGGGTGCGTGGGGGGCTCTGCACGGCCCCACTGTGCTGCCTGGCGTTCTCTTGTATCTCTGTGTACGTGATGCTCGTGACATAGCTGTTTATGAAATAATTAAAGAGGTCAATGCGTACAGCAGATGTAGAAAGTCTGTCAGTTCCGCTTTCATCACATTTTTTTGTGCCCAGAAGAATAAAATAAAGCTCCTTTCTAATGTACTTGTGCTGGAGAACACTTGAATAAATGGACTGTTTTTGTGCAAAAAAGAAAAACGGAAAAAGCACGGTAATAATGTCCTTTTGTCCTGCGCCTCCTTTTCCCCAGCGTGACTACTCACAGCCCTTATCCAGAGGGCTGAAGTACCTGAGTGGGGAGGGCCCCACTTAGAGCCTCGCCTGCATGGCAGAGAGTGTTGCACCTGAGACGTCACTGGCGGTGAGACAAGGTGGTCAGGAAGTCAACTTGGCCCCAGGTAGAGCAATGGGTACTTAGAGAGCAGAGCAGGGAGAAGTGTCTTGGTCAGGTGGGTGCAGAGAACTCCTGGCCGTGAGCACCTGTCCCCTCTGGAGCGTTGCCAGTACACTGTAGTCCAGAGGGGAGAAGCTAGGAGCTGACTGGGAGGATGGGGGAGAGCCCTGCCAGGAACCAAGCCATTTGTCCTACGAGTGGTGAGAATTGGGAGGGTACATTTATAAATACTGACAAGTGGCCTTTTGGGCTGGGATTGTCCTGTGTAGACTTGAGGGGAGTGGTTTCAGCTCAGCATAAGGCGCAGGTCCTTTAATACCCATGACCTGTGCAGTGCAGGGGACACCTGAATGCAGAGAAGCCCTGACCAAGGCAAGGTGCCTCACGGCCATTTGGGGATGCTGCTGGTCTTCCCAAGATCAAGTCTGTGGTTCTCTGGCTGCTTGGTCCTCCTCAGAACCATCTTGCAAGTGTGGCCAGCGCCTTGCAGCCTGCACAACTCCTTCACGCGCCTCGTCCTCGTGACTCTTGCTTGACACTCACTAGTTCCCTGACCCCACCCAGCTAAAGTGACAATCCAAACACATGTAAAAACTGGGACTATTTGTACACATCTCAGTTCCGGAACTTAACACTCCACACTGCACTGTTTCCTGATGCCCATAGGATGGGCCAGGGCCTCTGCTAAGCAAGAAACGCTCGAGGGTTCTTTCCTGCCCCAGCTACCCAGGGAGGGTTAGGGCCATACTGCCACCCTGACAGCAAAGATGTCATGTGGGGAAAGTGAGAAACAGCAGGAAGGAAACCCAGCCAGGCTCATGGGCTCTCATGGCACTTTTCCGTTCCTTTTTCCTTTTTTTAACAAAGTTGTAAGTGTACATTTAACTTCTACCCTGCTGTGTTTTTCAATGTTGATGTAGAATCTTTTTTTTTTTTTTCTTCAAATGGCTGCATGGCATTTTCTTGTTGAATGTTTGTTTAAATAAATATATATCTATATATTATTTTAGCTATAAATAGAGCGTCAATAAACATCTTTATGTTTTGGCTTTTCCCCCTATATTTTGTATTTTTTATTTCCTTAAAATAGATTGCCAGGGCTGGGGGTGGGGCTCAAGTGGTGGAGCACCTGGCTGGCAAGTATGAAGCCTGAGTTCAAACCTTAGTAATTCAAAAATAAAAAAAGATTTCCAGAAATGAGACCAAAGAGAGCAAAATAGATGGACAGTTCAGTTGGTTCCTGACATTTGCCTGGCAATTTCTTACACGGGTCCACAGACAGGCGTGTGATTCAGAAAGAAACAAACCCGGGGGCCTTGGTTTGATAAATGCAGAAATGCATTGTCTTAGCCTGTTTTCTGTTGCTATAACAAAACACCAAGGTTGGGTAATTTATAAAGGAA